GATACAGCAGAGTTAGCTAGAAATATTTGAGCTGCCATACATGACTGAATGAGAGAAAAGCACGTCCTTCGGGTAAGGAAGGCCTGTACATACGGGATTTCTGCTAACTTGTCACCAGTGTAACAAAAGTTATATAAATTTTGAAGAATATAGGAGTCAAACGTCCCCTCTTTAGGCCATGGGCTGCCGTTAAGCTTGTAGGTCGGCCATGCCACCTGGCGTTAAAAGATTAGCTTTATTTTTATAGCCTTCTTTAGGCTAAGAGCACCGAGGTTATGAGCCAGGCAACCTAGAGGTGTGCTTTCCAAGGGACAGGAAATAGTATTCCCCATGACCAAATTAAAAGTGAGCCAAAAGAACCACTTTGCCTGAAGATGTAAGAGCTTTAGCCAGCCCCCCCCCCCCAAGGAACATGAAAGTTGTCCCGGATCACACTTAACAAAAAAGATCGTCACCTATTTCGGAAGTGTGATAAGGAAGGCTCCAACCTGATCTCATTGGCTGTCACCAAAAGGCACAAGTTGGGATCCCAGAGGACAAGAGTAACAGCTCTGACTCAGACCGTCCAAGGAACACAGAAAACTGCTACTTTAGTCCAGGGACAGCAATGGTTAATCCAGTGTGGGCCCAGCCCCGGAATTAAAAAACCTCTGAAGGAAAATGGCTCATCTGTGATAAATGAGGTAAGTCAATGTTGTATGTAGGCTGATGGTGACAAATTGAACAGCTCCCATTGAAAGGAGAAATTATTCCGAGAAATGCTTCTTAGAAATCCCCAGATTGGCAGGGGAGCTCAAACTGGGAGATTCCCAGGAGCAGCTCACTCGCCACTCCGGGTTTGCACACCGTTTTTTAGCACAATAAAGGAGCAAATATAAAAGTAAAAGTGGTCTTTATTCTAAGGATGTGGAGAGCAGCCCACAACCGAAGGCAGTCTGGTTTATCTGACCAGAATATGGGATATGGGGTATATATAACCTTTGATTGGAGGTGGTGCTTAGTGTAGGCATTGATGACACTCCTGGAATTTTCTTCCTGCTCACTGGGAAAGGACACAGGAAGTTGTAATAGGGGAAGGAGGAAGTGACCTCAGGGTAAACATCCCCGATTTGGCCTTCCAACGCCACAGTGTCCTGTAATTTATTCTAGGGCAAAACTCTTTCATTAACAATTTGTAATATTAGGTTTTTTAACAATTTGTCATTTTTATTGAAATAAGACAAATAACACTAGACCATATTAGTTTTTCATTACAATGCATTGGTATTTTCCAAGCTCAGAACCACATCTCACCATGAATCATATAGAGAAATAGTTGGCTTGGAATTTGGCTGTTTCTCAGGCTCAGAAAATGACTCCCCCTAAAAAATATACCACTTTGGACTCCAAAATCAAAGCATCTAGGGAGCAGCAGACACAAGAAAGGCTGGGTTCCTTTTATAGACCAGAGCTCCCAGTGAGAAACAGAATCACCTTCAGATCTTCCTAGTAAAATGTCACTGACCACGCAAGATGAAGGAAGCTATCTACATTCATGCCAGTCGCCAGTGTTCAATTAATACCCTGAAAATAATCATGCGTTTCATCTCCGATGCTACTTTTGCTGCAGAATTAACCTCTGTATCACAACATCGGGAGTTAGAATACGCTCAGAGGAACCCAAGATAGAAGTTTCCCAGGGAGATGACCCAAGATATCTCTGAGGGATAAAAATGGGTTCAAATATGCAGAGGAATCAAAAGTGCCAGATCCCTTGTCCACTTGCCCTAAGTTCGCCAGTGCAGCCGCGCTGCCCACTCCAGGAATGGGAAGGTAGTGGGGTCACCGGCTCAGCGGGGCTGTAAGTGTGCCGCTGCCTGAGAACAGCCCTGCGCCTCAGGAGAGAAGCCGGTTAAGAAAGAGAAGCTGGTGATGCTGGGGTGAGTGCAAGCCGCCCTGGTCTCCGGGTCACCGAGGAGGCTGAGGTAGGGTCAGCGGGGCGGGGGAGGGGGTGCCTCTCCCACTGCAAACATTGCTCGATTTCCCAGCCTTCCCCCAATCTGGGGGTCCCCGACCTCCGATTCTCCACACCTCCCATCTTCCAAGTGCTTGACAGACCGGGTCCGCACACCCCCACCTCCACCTCAGGCCTCTCCCCTAAACCCTGGGTCCCCCTCTCCACCTGCCAGACCCTGCCATCCGCGTCAGGTGTCCCCTGCAAGGCCAGGCGCGAGCAACTCTCATGCGGGTCCACGTTTCCAGCGCCGCCGGGACTTCGTGCTCCAACTGTCAGTAAGCAAGCACGGAGAAAAACAGAGCTGCACTTGTAAGGGTACCCTGTACCTCGCCCCACACTTACCTCACACTGCGGCGGTCCTGGGCGGGCCCGGGGGCCGGGGTCCCTTCCCCTGTCTCCAAGGCACTCATCCTTCATCCACTCGCCCCCAACTCACTTGGGGAGCTGAGCACATTGATGTCTGGGTTCCTGGGATGGGAAGATAGGGGCAGCACGGACTCCACGGGGAAGATTTTAGGGACACAGCCCAGCACCCCACTGCACACATAAATATAACCAAGGTCAGTGGACATTCAGTAATCTGCAGGAACCTCGCTTTGCAGCTGAGCTGCAGTTCTGTAAACAGGCCTACCAGCCTGCAGACCGGAGGGGAGGGGTCACTGATACAGTGAACCACTTACAGACATCAGCCCTCTCAGTTCCAGCTTTTGTTTATTTTTCTCTTGTTACCTGTAGAAAGTTCTGGCTCAGAGAGAAGTAGGCCATTTGTGCTGATGCCACCAGCCCCGCCTAGCAACACAGCAATGTCCTGGTGTTCAGAAGCCATGGTCATTAATGCTTGTTAATGATGGCTGGAAATAGTGTGGCATGCATGCCTCTTGGATGACAAAACTGTTAAATATCCATCAGGGGTGCTTTCAGCCACAGGTTTAAGTCTTGGTTGAGGATCCCCGCCCCCCCCAGCCATCCACATAATGCTTTCTTACTCTTAAATGCTTAACTCTGCTTGTTCCTGGTTTTTCTGCTCATGCAAAATCTCTTTCTAGAGTAAGAAATCATTATTTCAAACTCTGGACTTGCATTCTCATTAGTAGTGCTACAGGCAGCTGAGCTAGTTAGAAATATTATAGACAGGACCAGATGTCTGGTGACCTTGGAGGAGACATACACCTCTTGCTGTGGGCCAAATCTTGGACCAGAACTCAAAACAGATGCAACCCCACCCCAAGTATAAACATTACGAATTAGGTGTGGATCACCTTGAGAAACCAAGAGTTACCATCCCAACCCATCACCGATCCGTAAAGAATGCTTGCTTGCAAAATGGCTCGCTTCCCCATTTGTCCCTGATTAAGTCAATTTTACCTGAACAATTAAACTTATTGGTTGACCGTAGCTCTGTGCCACCTCATGCCCATCTGTCTTCTGAGTTCCCAGTTTTCCCCAACTTTAGACCTGCCTCACCTCATGGTTTTACTCTATAAAAATCGTGAAAAAATAGAGTCTTTGGCAGCTGGCTCAGGACCCCTTCTCTAAGACAGAAGCTTTCTTTCTCTCAATAAATATATTCTGCTCTTAACTCCATCGTTCCTAAAATTCATTCTTCAATTTTAGAGAATAGGAACTCGTTCCAGACACACGGTAGGTCGAGAGTTTCATTCTCCTGTATCTTTAGCAGCTTAATAGAATCCAGCTCCAACAGTCAGTTCTGCGTTCAGCTTCCATGCTATTGGTGTGGAACCCATGGGTGTTTAATGTTGTCGTGCACCACAGAGAAGCCCTAGCTAACCCTCACCTTCTCTATCCCATCCAGCCTTTCCAGATTCTATTTCCTTCTCCTTCTGATAGTTACTGGAATTATGATCAAAATTTCAGTTATGCTGGGCAGGGTGGTGCACACCTATAACCCCAGCACCTGGGAGGGTGAGACAGCAGGATCACTGTGAGTTCGAGGGCAGCCTGGGCTACAGAGTGAGTTCAAGGCCAGCCTGAACTGCACAGTGAAACAATCAGACAAAAACAAAACAACAACAAAAAACTGTTGTAACCTAGTTCTAACCAATGTGCCTCCTTCCTGTTCTGTATGCGCCGTTTCAATAGAGATTAAAATTCCATTTCCCGTAAAGACTTAAGTTTCAGCTCCTTGTAAATCCCCCTCCCATCCCCATTCTTTTTAGGTTAAGTCTCCATTCCCCATAAAAGCTTTAAGTTTCAGTTTCTTGTAATCCCCCCACCCCCTTCAGCCTATCTGTAATAAAACGTGCTGTTCCTTAAGAAACATTTAACTACAAGGAAGTTACAGGAGATACCAAGAAGCCCAGATGCTATCAAACTGTGTCAAAGTTCGCAACATTCCTGTGGTTTTAGGCTTTAAAACCCAACCCTTTTAGCTGTAAGGCACGCAATCTCCATATTGGCTCCTGGAGACTGTGTCGCCAGGCCTGGCCTAAAATAAAGCCTTTGCCCCCTAAATTTTAATTTCTTGCTTCCTTGGATTTTGGGGTCTGAGCTATCACAAAAACCCAAAAGATAAAAACAAACAAATAAAAACACCAACATTTTAATCAGTGTGCAGTTCCATTTTCCTGGAGTGAATGGTTGATCACTTCAGGGTCCTTCCTGCAAATGAAATCAGACACAAAGGAATGTGCTTTCACACCAGACCCCAGAGAAGTGTGCAGACTAGATTCTTGCACTTCTCAAGAGTTTCTCACAAACTGTATTTAAAGTATTTCCACATAATAAGCACTCAAGTCTTTTTATTTTTTCAATCATCCAATGAAAGAGTTGTACGGAAAAGCTGTGTTACTAAAGTGCTTGCCTAGTTTTCCCAGTTGTTCCAGCGGCTGGTTGGAGATAGGATGCGGGGAATAGGATAGGTTTTGGATTTTTGCTCACTCTTTTCTGTAGGAGTGCACTGGGTGATTCAGTCCTATGGCTCCTAGGTGCTGTTAATGTGATATTGGAGCTCTTACATTCATTTGCTGGGCTATGGTAACACAATAGTGCAGACAGGGGGCAGCACCAACAGAAACCATTCTTGAGGCTTTCTGGAGAATGGAAGTCCCAGATGGATGTGTCAGCAGACTGCGTTCCCCAAAGCCTCTGTCTGGCGATTACATCACTTTATACCACACACACTGGGCTCCAGTGTCTCTAGTCATGGGATTCAAGCTCCTCATTAGCATACCCTCACACTCTTAGGTTTGCCGGGAGTAAGCACTTCAACATAATGAATTGTATGGGGGCACAGTTTAAACCATAAAGCTCTTTTAGAGAACACCTGCCACATAGAAGTCTGATTGCCGGGTGGAGGAGTTTCCCTGGTGGATGAGAAATTAGAAAAAGGGAAGAAAAAGCCCTGCTCCCCACCTGCTGTTCCAGCCACCCCAGCCTAAGCAGCACATGAAGAATGAAGCAAGGTAAGCTCTTTCCCCCAGTGTCTACCCAAATGCCACAGTCATTGGTGGGGGTGGGTGGGTGACACTTGTTTTAAATCATTCCATTTTCAGTGGTTTGTTAACATAGCAAAAGACAGCACAGTACTACCAAAAAAAGAAGAAGCAGCAGCAGCATAATTTCCAACTTTTGGGTGAGTTACTCCAAATATTCATTATGTTATGGATTGAAAATCTTAATTATTGAAAGCATTTGAGGAATAACTTTATCACGTGCAAGACATCTGTGAGTTTGTTTACTTTCATTAACCTCTACCCGCAGTGCTATCTCCTGAGATTTGGCAGAGCAGGACAGCTGAAGAATAGCCCAGCTGAGCTGAGAACCGTGCTTCTGGGAGCCTCTCACATAAGCAGCTTTTACCCTGGTGGGTTAAACTCATGACACAGATTTTCAGGCTTTTGCAGGTCACCTGACATAAAATAATAACAGTAGCAGGGATCTGAACAGGAGAAGTCATCTATGCCAGATACTACAGGTTCAGAGCATCCAGCAGATGAGAAGAGCATCCAGCAGATGAGAATCACATACCAGTGATTCAATTGTTGGGGGCACCTTTATAATGTAGAAACACATTCATAAGATAGTAAACATAGATATTTCATGATCAGTTAGAGGCCTCTGACCAAGTTGCTGTTTTCCTGTTTCTGCTAAGTTCAATTGACCTTGACAGTGTCCACAGCCGAGATACAGATGAGCACTAAATCAGTAATTGTCTGTACTTTAAGGCACCCTGGGCTGATTCGTGCCCATTCAGCAAAGGCCCTGTCTCTGGAACATTTGTATATTATGGGAACGCCCTTAACTGCGCTCATTCTGTAAGAACCCTCTCCCCTGGTTCCTGGAATTGTTTCTGTTGTTTAAAGATTAGCCTGTCTGTCAATATGTGATTCAGTGTATGCAACCAATGTATGTAACCAATCATGTACTGTTTGGTCACTTGCTTCATACCTCTCACTTCTAATTCTGTGTAGACTAAACTTCTCCATTCAGCACGGTTGCTTGGGAGGAATTATCTATCTCTGCAACAGTCCACTGGTGTGAAATCCAGCAGTTCACTGGTGTAAGGTTAAATGCTGCCTTCTTGTATCCTTTTGGTTTGCTTTGATTTGGGAAATTTTCCAAACAAAATGAGGGGAGGGATGAAAAGCTCATTTATAGGAGTTATGCCTGTCTGCAACTGTGGGCATTAAGAGTGCAGCCTGTTTCCTGAGATGTGTTGTATGTCTTATGCACTCTGTGGAGAATGCTTGCCATCAGCTGAGTGTCCAGCGGTGACAGGAAAATGTTCTCAGGTGGCACAGTTCAAGTGGGCTGTGTGCTCTATTCAGTGGTCCACCGAGTGCTCTGCCACTCGTTCTGCACAGTACTCAGGCCCAGGGGAAGAGCAGGCCTGGGAGCCACCAGCTACTCCTTCAAGTTGTGCAGGGAGAGGCTGAAACTGGAAATGGATTACACTTTGGGGGCAAGGCAAGCCTCTTCCGAGAACACCAAGCCAAGAGGAAATCCAAGCAATGGCTGCTAGACAAAGGGGTGTCATGGGACATTAACAGGTCAAACGTATAAATAAGTGCACTGTGGTGGTGGATCAGTTCTTTTCTCCCATCCAGAGAGAGGGCTCCATCTGACTGTCTCTTACCTGTATTTCACCATCCTCCACCCAACCCCAGAACTTTGAGAGCTGTGCTAGACACAAGGAAGCAGTGCCCAGGACTAACATTTTCCCAAATGAGGAATTTTAACATTTTCATCTTTTAATCAGAGGGACTTAAAATGGGAAAACCCAAAACTTGCATTTGAAATTGATCAACTAAGTATTAAAGAAATTAAATTTCTAAATAGTGTGTTTGTTTAAAAGTTTGTAGCTTTTATACTCATGTAGTTTGTAAAACTTAAAACTACAGTAAGACTTTAGGAATTGCCCATAAAATTTCATGTGCTTCCCATGGTATAATTAACGAAAAGTTCATTGTGCATACATAAATTGAGTACTGTCTAGACATACATTTGAACCAATACTTATTTATGTTGCTGTTCTGGGCTATTTAATGGTGACAATTTCCGTGTGAAGGCCATGTCACATAAGGAAATGCAAAGTAAGTGTCTTGGGTACTTTTCTCTCATTGCTGGGACAAAATATCCAACACCCAAAACGAAGGAAGGAGAGGTTTGTTTAGTTTACTGTTTGTGGAGGTTTCAGCCCATAATCAGCTGGCTCCAAGGCTGGATGGCATGGCACCAGGGCAACACTTCCCGGCAGCAGCCAACAAAAGCAGCCAGAGCAACAGAGGAGGGGAGGAAGCCACTTTTCCTCCCCTATAGTGTGAGCAGGCTATGCCCCTTGTATCATTTGCAAGTCTTCCTCTGTACCGACTGAGGATGTCACAAAGTAATGACCCTGGCCAACTGCTGAGTCGCTTCATTAAATTTCTGACTATCTCAAATTGACACAATGAACAGCATCCTAGAGTGATAATGGCTTGTCCTGTACATCCCAGGATGTAGGACTACTAAGTCACTTGCTTAAGCTTCTGGACTTTTCAAGTTGATGCGGTGTATCAACCGTAACAGTAAGACATTGGATCAGGGCAGAGAAGCCATGGTTGGAAAGAGGGGCAATTCTGGGATCACCATATGCCGGTTCGGGTACATATTTGTGTCATCTGTTTAGAAATTGAGTTTCATTTGGGTCATGGGGCTGCAGCTTGCTGACATGTTGTAAGCACATATTCCATGTTGGGGTGGTGACCAATGAATGTGTAGGGATTGACCCTGTGGGCCTAGCGGCCAGGGATGAGAGAACTCTTACCCTTTCTATACCCAGTCACTGTGCCCCAAGCCTAGTATCCCCACAGATCCCAGTGGTGGTGTCCCTGTGCGCTGAAGGGAATGGCCATAGGCCTCCTCTGTGTCTGGGTGGGTATCATGTAGGTAACTACAAGAAAACAACTTTCAGGATACCCTTACAGTCCAAGATGGGCTGGTCCCTGGGTTGCCAGTCTCCACAGCATTGGCCATTTCTTGCTGAATGACACTGTTGTCAGACAGTTCCTTTATTTATGGCTCACTAATTAAGCATATGCCAAATCCTTGAGCAAAGAATTGAAGGAGACAAGCCAAAACAGGGCCGAAGTTTGTTTGAAAATTGAGAGGTGAAAGGGTGAGAGAGAAACTGGTTCTGCAGTTGGGCTAAACAAGAGGAGAGAGAAAAAATAAAAGCACACCCTAATCTACAAGACACACATTGGGCTACTGAGAAGAGTAAGAATAACAGGCCCTGCTTGGGTTTATTCAAAGTCAACATAATTGAAGATATGGGTGACTGCATATATGTTTAAGTGTAGAGGATTGATAACCATATTTCTAAGTTTTTGTTGGATAGTTGAACAGAACTGGTTGCAGTCTCACTGTTTGAATCCCCACTTTATATGCTCCACTTTAGTATCTTGTAAGAAGACAATCTGTAATCATCAACTAGTGATTTCTTACTGTTTATTTTTTCTTTGAAATTATGTATTATTTCTACCCGTTTTCTGTTTTTTTTAAGTCTTTCTGTAAATTCAGTTTTAAAAAGAAGACACTACCGTACCCAGTGCTGATCATGGAGTGTCATGATGTGAAACCCAGCAATACTATTATTCTTTGTTCAGAATGATTTTAAACCGCTTTAGTTTGTTTAATCTAAACATAAAGATATGGATAACTGCATGTATGTTTAAATGTATAGGATTGACAATCATGTTACTTAGTTTTTGTTGGACAGTTGATTAGAACTTTTTACAGTCTCTCTGTTTGAATTCCCACTTTACATGTTCCATTTTTGTACCTTGGAAACTATTTGTAAAACAACATCAACTAGTGATTTCTTACTGTTTTTTTTTTTCTCTGAACGTATGTACTATTTCTACTTATTTTCTGTTTTGTTTAATCTTTCTTTAAATAAAAATTAAAAAAAAAAGAATAGTAGGCCCTGGGTGGCATCCCTTTTATGTCATCTACATCTCTTGGGAGCCCCCAAATTTTGTATGTGGGATCCAGGGAGTTATTTGATGCTGTCCTGGGATCTTCTAAGTGACTGGTCCTCAGTATTTCTTAACCAGATTTGGCACATTTTAATCCCCTCTCAGTACCAGCAGCAGTGTGGGACAGGTGGACATGTGTGCTGCCCCCAGACCAGGACCTCTGATGGTGTCACTGAGCACGTTTCTGTTCTTGTGACTTTGCAGAAAGTAGGTGCCTGCTGCCCTGCTTGCCTGTGCTGCCTGGCCTGGCTCTCCCTCTCCACCTCTGCTCCATCCTTCCAGGGCTGCACCCTGTATACACTTTGCAGTGGAGCTTCCAGGTCAGAATCTAAGCTTAAAATCCCGAAGGGGAAAGCATCAGAATCTGAACCTTTGTCTCTTTCTTTCTTTCTTCTTTTTTTACCACAGAAATGAAGAGGAATTTCTAGTTATTGCTCCTTCATGGCTTGGTTGTTTCTCCCCTTGGGGGAGATTCCCAGAGGCTGGTCCATGCGTCATGACAGTGACATCGGTCCTTCCTGGTGGGCTACTCCCTTCTGGGTCCTGAGCAGAGTGCTGCTTCTGCCTGGCCTCAGAACTGATGAATTCGGGGAGGGCCCATCACTGGTCATCAGCCGGTGAGGAGTCATGGTGCAGGAGTCACCTGACTAGGACCATGGAACTAGTGTAGGACAGAGCTCTAATTTGAACTTAGACTTTTCAGTCCTGCTTTTATCTTACATGTTCAGAAATTTCACACCTGTCAGTTTTGTTTTTTAGCCAAATTTTTGCAAACTGGGTATTCTCATTAGGCATATGACACAAAATTGTACTCTTTTCCTGAAGTTACCAACAAGAATAAATGTTTTTTCTTATGTTTACAACTTAGATTAACTTTTTAAGGGAAAAAATGTTTTTGCCTCTTTGTGTATTACACTTTTAGTGTGTTCTCAAAACACAATAAAGAATGTCTGGGAAATAGAAACTAACCCTCGTATCTGCCTTCTTATTTACTCGGATATATTATAGTGAAGTTAATGCTTCCAGGAAGACCTCCCTTGATCATTTCTCTAGTTTCCAGGACAATTCATCACGTTACTCTTTCCTCCTTCAGAGCAGCTGGATAACCTGGTAATTGTGGCACACACCTTCAACACTGGCCTTTGTCCTATGATGCTGTTGGTGTCGTTGAGACCTGCAGTTGTGTTTGGAACACGGAATATGTGCTTACAGCTTGCAAGAGGAATTGCAAAAGTTTTCCCTCCGTAGGAAAGGTTGGTTCATGCCTGGAGTCCAGTGCCACTGCGTGTTGAGGTTTCTTTTGGATTCATGATCTTCCTGTTAGTATAGATTAGGGGAACTGCCCTTCCCAGCGTGTCTCTTCATGACAGTACTGAGTCCAACGTGTCCCAGAAATGACAAGTGTTCAGCCAGTTCACAGGGCACAGGCCAACAACAGGTCAAGTAACTCGCCTTTGGTTTACTTCTCCTGAGTGTTGACTTGGACTGGATGCGAACTCTCAGGCTTTGATGAAACTCAGTTCTCTCAGATCCTTCTGAGAGCAGACAGAGCTTTGGGTTGCACAGTCTCCCATCCTGTGATGTCTTTAAGCCTTTTCAGTGACACGTGGTGAGAGGTGTATGTGATCCATGGTTTAAGAAAACCACTTAGCAAACAAGCTCCTTGTCCTAGCAGATGGTGAAATAGCAGAGGACAAATATGGTGTCTTGATAGGCAATGTCATACAGGGGAGGCAGAGACCTAGCAGCACTGCAGGGAAGTGATTCAGTCAGCAGATTCTGATAATTTCACAGGGTAAAATTTGAGTGGTTTACATACGCCGCTGTGCCCTGCAATTGAATTATTGTTTCATATTGGTGTCTGTTCATGTACTGCTGCTTTAAATGTTAAAAGACATTGAAAGTCACTCGCTCCCTCTGATGTGTGAAAAAAGACATGCACATCTCTGTCACTTTGTAATTTGTGTTGCACCTCCGTGGCCCTCCAGGCTCCTAGTTTAGGTTTGTGCACGGGAGTTCTGTCTGGACATAGAACATGCAGGCTTTGTGCTGTGAGTGTGTGCAGAGCTGCCTCTGGCTCTCCCTGTGAACTGAGTGGACTAGGCGGGGGTGTGCCTTGGCTGCCTCTTTCCGCTCCTCACAGCATTCTGCATGTAGGCTTTCTTCTTTCACAAATGTGCGAAGCCTAAGAAAGGCCCAAGCCCTGCGCGAGCAGTGCTCCATGAAAGCCATCTTGGAGGAGCTGATGTCTTCCCCTCTGACCTGTGAGAAAGCAGAGGAGCCCAGCTACTGAGTGTGGCCTGTGAGCTGCACGTCAGAAAAGGATTTTGAGTTCTGGTCTCAAATTCTAAAACTTTTACACATCTGCTTCTTGAAGTGTGTATAAAGTGTATTATTCTCATACCAGGGGTTTATGAGCCTAGAGGCAGTGCTGAGGGTGTGTTATCATCAGTAAAAAAAATTTCTTTCTGAGACAGGGTTTCACTATGAGTTCAGGCTGGTCTTGAACTCACTCTGTAGCCCAGGTTAGCATCAAACTTGCAGCAATCCTCTTGCCTCAGCCTCAGGTGCTGGGATTACAAGCATGTGCCACCATACTGGGCATCAGTGATAACCTTTTTTTCCCCCTCTTCCCCAGTGATAACTTTTGATAAAGATCAGAAGGGTGTCAGTCTTCAGCTCTGGCATAAGCTGCTAGGAATACTGGAGATCTGTCTCCACCCCTGACCTGACAGCTGGGGAGGAACATATGCTTATGTGTCCCGTGTGTCCCTCCTCCTCAAGGACCAGTACGGGTCACAAGATGCCTTCTTGTTTCCTGTGACCTCCATGAATAAGATCCACCTTGAACATTTGACTTCCTCCCTTGGGGAAAAGGCTTTCTGTGGCCCTTTCTGTGATCAGAACTCAGTCTAGTGGATCTTTCTGTGATCTTACTGGGACTTTCTATTTACTTGACCTCTCACTGTGAAATTATTTCATCTCAATTTCTCTTAGGTCAAGTCACTTTATAACTTCTAACTCATTCTTATAACTTTCCAGTGTTAACATTGGCCATCTTTTTTCACTGAATGGAAAAAAGTTTAAAGGGGAGCTTTTGTATACAGGTAATAGGCTACTAGTTTAAAAAGCTGTATACTAAAATGACAAAGAATATTAACAAAAATTCCTGAAGAGATACTAAAATAGTATCATAAAATAGTATCTATGATGATATTATTTTTCATTTTTTTGCATATTCCCTTCTAGTTATTATCCATGAACATTTTTGTATGCTTCATTTTATAGGTGATACTGTATCAGAAAATGCCCCCCGGCCCGGCCATTATGCTTCAGTTCGTTAGTTGCCCTAGTGATAGAGGCTGTTCTAGTTCCAGCTGCTTGTGTCTCTGAGAAACGGTGGTCACTAGTGCTGCATAGCTGGTCAGTAGGGTGTACATTGTATAAACCAGTCCCCAATTGACAAGCCGTTCTCCCTCTGTATTTCCTGCTTATTTATCCCATGTAAGCCCTAGATCACCAGCAATCAGGGCCTGATGTTTGCGAATGATCCTGATCAGTGCCTATAGATGTAAATAAATCTGCCTCCAAATCCTGGACGTCATTTTGGTGTTTCTGCTTGCTGTGGCAGGTATATGGGTTTTTTCTTTTCTTTTCTTTTCTTTTTTTTTTTAGTATTAGGTGACTGAGCTTTATTTTTAGGGCATTTGACCAATGCTAAAAAACTTAAGATAAGCCAAATGTATTTTTCTTGCTCAAAGCAAGTATGTGTTAATGGGTTATTTAACACAAATTCTGCTGTTGGGGACTGGCATCAGGAACTGCCATGTGATTTCTAAGGTCTGTGTCTTTGCAACAGGACACAGTGGAGGAGGAGGACAGACAGGGCTCTGCCCTGCTTGAGGTCTATACAAGATCTCTAGATGTGTGAAGGGTATGGATCAGGTTAGGACACTTTCAGGATGGTAAAATCTCTGCCTGTATTGGTTCTGGCAAGCCAGACATAGCTCATCCTCTGCCCTGGGTACACTCCAGCCATGACCACTGTGACATGGAAATTTCTTCTTTTCTTTCCTTCTGCTTCTGCGCGCACAGCTCCCTTTGCTTGTCTGAGCTCTCCAGCTCTCTGTCTGCAACATCCTGCTCAGTCCTAAGGATGTAGCCGGGCGTGGTCTCCGATGTAATGCGCTTCCCGACTCCCCTCCTTTCCAGCCAGCCAGGAGCAAGGGTGTCTTGTGAGTCTTCTAGATCTGGCACACCACCAGCCCCAGGTACACTGGGCCCTCTCAGGCAGGACCTAGGGCTCCCTCGCCCCGTCTCACACACCGTGTCCGGGCACAGGCAGTGCCCACTGTCAGGTGGGATGCGCGATGCCCCATGCAGTAGCATTGTGCTATGGATGGCCTCTTCCTCTTTTCTCAGCTCTGGGCTTTGGTTTCTAACATTGCATTACTGACTCTAAAATAGGCATTTAGTTTACATATATATATTTCTATAATAGTCTTTCTAAAAATATTCTTCTGTTTGTGTCTTTCAAGGCAAGGTGAGTGTAAAGATCACCAGTGCATGGACATGACAGTGCTTGTTGAAATTTGACTGTGAGGCTGCCAAATGAGATGGCGATGAATTAGAAATTTCCTTCTAAACTTTAAGAGAAAATGTTAAAATAGATGAGTACAAGGGTATGACCTGAAGCTTTTGGCTTTAAATGACTTTTCTTAGTTATGTGGCATTAAAAATCTCTGCAGGAAAATCAATAAACCCAACCATATTTTGACAGTGATAAATCTTTATTTTTACTCAAAATTAGTTGCTCTGGTTTCTTATCTCTCTACACTGAAGTCACAGAAATTCTCTTTTCATTATTACATTATGTTTTCATTATACTGTTTTTCCCTTTGAAAATCTCTCTAAAAGCTGACGTTTTGGGCTTTCTGTTAAAGATGTGTTAGCTACACATGATGACAGTTGTTAAATTGAATACAGCCTTTTATATTTCAAAATCTAAACTACTTATTTCCTCTGGACCAAAAATAACTGTGTTTAAAAAGAAAAAAAAAATACAAGGGCTAATGGCATAATATGCTGAGTGTTTTGCTCACTAGGAAGACTCTGCTGAGTAGACAGCAGCCTGCATGTGACCCAGCAGAGACCTCTGTTGATCAGGATGTCACAGGGGTTCACAGAAGTTTGTGTAGTGGATTTTGCTTCTGAATTGCACTGGATGATCCCACTTTATCCAGCAAAACGTTTGCAGCCCACTTAACTTTTCTTTGATGTGTGAGGCTTTCTTTATTGAGCTTAATATAAAAGAGGTAGAAAACTGAGACCCCAAAGCACCCTTTAAACATTCCTGTCAAACATTTTACTCCTATAAATAAGATGTAAGAAGTAAAAGTTGGCTCATTTGTATTCTGCAGGGGAGCTTCTCATGCCCTGCACTATGCCTCTGGCCATGCCCGGAGTCTCTGGATTTAGATAGTGCGGCCACAAAATAAACGTGTTTGCTGGGTCCATCTGTGGAATATATAATTTGGAAGCATCACTGTTAACTGCCAGATTATATTTTTAAGCTTTTAAACTAGTAGTTTCTTGTAATATACTGAGCTATTGAAAATGAGATTAAATCAGGGTCTCAGCTGCCTTGGAGAATGGGGCCGGAAGGAGGTAGGAGGCATCAAAGGTGATCTATCATTCTCCAGGACTGTTCAGTTAGACAGGTGCCTTTTTTAAAAAATCAGAACAACAACAGTAATTGACCATTTCAGCCTTCTGATCCTGGTCCCCGTTTCATCCCCTGATGTAATTTATTGAGTATCAAGAGTTTTGATTGTGCAGCAGATTTATGTGGGACTTTTGCCAGTGGTCTCACTCTAAAGTCAAATATCCATCTTCGTTTCTTTTCTGTCTTCTTTCTCTAACTCCATCCTCCTCCCTCTCCTTTTCTTTCTTCTCTACTTCTCCTTAT